ACCTTGAGGAGGAAGGCATTCAACAGGCAAGGCACCACCACTGACATAGCCCTGTCTCTGGTCATCCCTGCAAGTGAGGATACAGAGAGCAGGACTTGGAAATACAGCACAGTGCAGGAAGAAATAGTCCTTCAAGTAACCTGGCCCGAAGTCATTTAGGGCCTTAAAAGTAAGAAGCAGCACTTCCAACTATGCTGATTATTAATCATTCCGTGGAAGAAGGAGTAGTACTTCCAGCTATGAGATAAGCTACAATCAGACCCCTTTTAAAGAAGCCATCTTTAAAAGGCAAAGATCTTAACAACTATAAACTGGTATATTCCCCCTCCCCCAGAAGGTTCTGTGAATATGGGTAGCTAAGCAAATCTGGACATTTTTGGATGCTACCGAGTTTCTAGATCATTTTCAACCAAGGTCAAGATCTGTATCCGGTGCATGCATGTTATCTGTCAAGCTGCTTCCGACTTCTGGCAACCCTATGAATTAGCCTCAGTTTGGTCATTTTAGTTTCTAGGGAGAGTTCATGGTACCCGTAAAAATCTCCTCCAATGCCATATTTCAAATGAATCAGCTTTCCTTATGTCAGTTTTCTTCTCTGTCCAACTTCCACTTCCATGTATAGTAAAGGGGAATGTTATAGTACGAATTACCTTGATCTTGGTCATCAGCGACATATCCTTATACTTAACAGTCTTTTCTAGCTCCTTCATGGCTGCCTTTTCCAGTCTCAATCTCCTTCTGATTTCTTGGTTACAGTCTCCCTTTTGGTTGATGATGGAACCAGGGAAGAGAAAATCTTTTAACAATTTCAATATCTTTATTGTCAAACTTAAAGTTGTGTCATTCATCAGTAGTCATTACTTTTGTCTTCTCGATGTTCAGCTGCAATCGTACTTTGGCACTTTCTGCTTTAACCTGTATCAGTAGTCATTTCAAGTTTTCATTATTTTATCCCAGCAATATAGTGTCATCTGTGTATCTCAAATTGTTAATGTTCCATCCACCAATTTTCACTCCACGTTCATCTAAATATAGTCCACTTTTTCTTATGACATGTCATAGATTGAAGAGATAGGGAGATAAGATGCATCCTTGTCAGACATCTTTGCAAATTGGAAACCGTTCTGTTTCTCCATATTCTGTCCTAACAGTAGCCTCTTGTCCAGAATACAGGTTGCGCATCAAAACAATCAGATGTTGTGGCACACCCATTTCTTTTCAAACCAACCATAGTTTTTCATGATCCACACAATCAAAGGCTTTGCTGTAATCTAGGAAACACAAGTTGATTTTCTTCTGAAATTCATATGCTCCTGTAACCAATATAAATTTGCAACATGATCTCTAGTACCTCTTCCTTTCCTGAATCCAGCTTGAACATCTGGCATTTTTTGTTCCATATACAGTAACAGTCTTTTTTATAAGATTTTTTGTTATTTATTATTTTATTAGAAAATTTTCATACATATTCAAAGAAGAAAAATTGCAAAATGTAAAATACAGAGGAACATAGACAGGGACATACAATGACTCAGCAAGTCTATCTAATGAAATTAAATTTACAGTAGGTTTTAGTTTTCTGTGAACACCCGAGGACCACCAAGTACCCTGTAGCTGAAGGCATCGTTTTAAATGTACATCCATGGTCTGTAGAGTGGGTTAGATGGCACAGTTTCCTTAGCGGCCATATATTGCAATACAGGGAACCAGACTTGTACAAATTTGGTGTAAGTAGTGTCAGGGTGTGCAATATTATCTGATATTTTACCCATGACGAATTGATCCCAGAGCTTCTCGAACCATAAAACTATATTAGGTACTTCTTGAGATTTCCACTTGGATGTGATTGCTATCCTGGCAGCAGCAAGTAATATTAGTATTAATTCAAAGTTGTAGAGTTTTGATCGTGAGTCTTCCCAGTAGTTTAGCAGCATCAGTTCGGGGGAGAAAGGGATATCTGTCGACAGTATTGTGCTGATATGGTGCACTGTCTCTAGTCAAAACTTCTGGATGGGGTCACAACTCCACCAGCAGTGTGCACAGTTGCTGATATTGCCACCATTTCTCCAGCAAAGTGGACTTCTTGTGTTGTCTATGCACCAGAGCCGCTGGTATCTCAAGGTGTTGTAGAAAGAGATTTGAGAGAGCCATTTGCAAATTTTTGAGAGAAGCCATTTAGTATTGCTGTAACAGACCATTAATAGAGCTTCAAACTCTGTGAGGGATTTTCTGAAGGCTCCAGAAGCTTGCAGTGTATTCTTAATTTGAAGGTAGCAAAACCAAGGGATGGCAGTGCCCAGTTGTTGTTCTAGCTGTAATTTGTCTTGAACTTTATTGTGTTTGATAATATCTGCTAGACGGGAGAGTCCAACTTGGTGCCAGTGTTGAAAGGCCAGTTGCTCTTGGCCTGGGGGGAACCAGTCCTGATTTGTGAAGGTAGACAGTAAAGAAGTGCCTGGGGCTAACTTCTTACTTTGCAGATCCCAGATTTTAAAGGTAGTTCTTAGAAAGGCATTGTGGTTGGCTTGAAAAGGCCTTGAAGATGGTTTCATCCAGATAGTTTCTTGTAGGGAGAAAGGGTGTGTCTGTTCTTGTTCCATGGAGATCCAGTCATCTGGGGATTTGTGGGATAACACCTTGATTATGTTGACTAAATTGGAAGCTTGGTAATAGGAAGTAAAAGAAGGGAGATCCATTCCTCCCTGAGAGGGTGGTCTAACAAAGAACTTTGAAATTGATTCTCAGCTTTTTGGATGCCCAGACAAAAGTGTTAAATATTACTTGCCATTTCCATAATTCCGGGTTGGAAATTTCAATGGGCAGAGCTCGGAATAAAAACAAAAACCTCAGTAGCTCTTGATCAGTTGTAATCTATCTGTCCATGAGAGGTTTATTGTGATCCATCTTCTGATCAGAGTGAGGATGTTGCTGTTGCACTGTTTGAGGCTGTTGAGCTCTAAGGGAATGTGAGTGCCCAAATAACTCCAGGTATGCATTATCCATGTGTATGGATAGGATGTTTTAATGAAATTTGTTATGGCTGGATCTAAATTTATTGGGAAGAGATCCAATTTTAAAGAATTGATTTGGAAACCTGAGACTGGACTGAAGGTGGACAACGAATTTTGAATATCAGGTAACGATTGCAATGGGTTAGAGACATAGAGGACCAAATAGTCCGCATGGAGACTGATTTTATGTTTTATACCTCCCGTCTTTATGCCCCTTGTGTTTTGGTTATTGTGAATTGCATCTGCCAGGGGCTCCATCACTAAGGCAAAGAGAAGTGGCAATAGTTGGCAGCCTTGCAGTGTACCTCTGGTGAGTCTGATCTTGGAAGACCTAAGGCTGTTTGCTTTAATTTGTGTGGTGGGGTTTTGGTAAATTTTGTGTAAGGCTCTCAAATAATTTTCTCCAAAGCCATAATGGAAGTGTCCGAAAAATATATAAAATCTTAGGAAAAATAAAGGATTTTAAAATCTTGATTTTCTCCAACCATGTCAATGAAAGAGAATTCCAATTAGTATACATATTTGAAGTTTCCTGTATTAATTCTTGATAATTAACTTTATACAAATCTTGTAACTGAAGTGGGATTTTAACTCCTAGATAATTCCAAGGTTTAGACAGCCATTGGTAAGAAAATTGTGTTTTCACATAATATTCACTCTCTTTAGTTAAATTAACGGGGTATAAGATTGTTTTCGTCTGGTTAACACTGAGACCTGCTAGTGAACTAAAAGTTGTTAAAATTTTCCCTAGGTTTGAAATTGAAGATTGTGGGTCAGAAATATATAAAACAATGTCATCAGCAAACAAACTAATTTTATATTCCATTTGATCTATGGTTATGCCTTAAATCTGAGTCGAATTTCTAATTATATTGACCAATGGTTCTATGACTATAGCAAAGAGCAGAGGTGATAACGGGGCACCCCTGGCTCGTGCCTCTGGTGAGCCTAAAATCTTGCGAACAGAGACCATGTAAGGCTATTTGTGCCTTAGGAGAGATATATAAAGTCTCTATTACTGTTTTACATTTCGGTCCAAATACCATTGCTGCAACTACTTGTTTTAAAAAGACCAGTTCCACCCGGTCAAAGGCTTTTTCTATATCTAAAGCCAATATACATGTATCATTTAAATATTGTTTGCTATATTGTATTATATTAATAGTTTTACGTATATTATTGCTTATGTCCCTATTGGGAATAAACCCAGTCTGATTGACAAGAATATATTGCCCTATTATTTTGTTTAATCGAGTTGTAATTACTGTGGTAAAAAAATTATAATCACTGTTTAATAACGAAATTGGCCGATATGATTTGGTACATTGAGGATCTCTGTCTTTTTTAAGTAATACAATGATTTTGGCTTCATCCCAAGTTGGTGGTTTGATTCCTTTTTCTAATACTAAATTACATAAATTTGCTAATGGTGCAGCTAAATGATGTTTATATTTTTTATAAAATTCAGCTGGTAAGCCATCCCTACCTGGGCACTTATGGATTTTTAAATGTGAGATTGCATTTAAGATTTCATTTTCCGTAATTGGTTCATCTATGAAATCTTTATGGGTTTGTGTCAATTGTTTAACTAAATAGTTCTGTTTGAGATAATGTTGTATTTCTAAATTGGAAGGCTCATCAGATGTATACAGTGTCTTATAATATTCTAAGAATGTTTCTAAAATTTCAGAAGAGGTGAATTCTATTTGACCTTAAGTATTTTTGATGGAAGCTATTGCTTTTTTGGCTTGTTGTTCTTTTATTTTCCATGATAAAAGTTTTAAAGATCTGGGATGTCTGTACCAATATTTTTGTTTAAGATACATTATATTTTTCTGAATTTGTGTTATTTCAAATATTTCCATTTTTTTTTCATTCTATAAGAAGGTGCTGATAATTTTTTTAGATCCAATTTCTTTATGTTTTGCTTCTAATATTTTGATTTTGTCTAATATTTCTTGTTTCAAAATATTTCTGTTTCTATTATAGGATATTGTTGCTGAGATAAAACAACCACGTATCACAGCCTTCATAGCATCCCAGACAAATTCCTGTGAAACTCCACAAGAAGAGTTAAACCTATAATATTCTTGTATTTCCTCATCAATAGTGTCAACAATTGATTGGTTAAATAAAAGCTTTGTATTTAATGTCCATGTTTTTGTACGTTGTTCCTTCTTTAAATCACTAAAAACATATTCCAGCCAAGCATGGTCAGATAATGTACGGAGGCCAATATCAGTATGCAACGTTTGGGGTACTAAGGATGTGGATATCAAAATCAAATCAATTCGGGTTAAAATATTACGTTTTGGGGGGAAATATGTATAATCTTTAACACCTGCATTCTGCAATCTCCATATATCTTTAAGATCATAATGATCTATCGGTTTTTGAAATGCTGTTGTAGTATTATTGGCATACCTACTGGTGTGTTTTTGCCCAGGTCCATAGGTCCTATCATTCTGTTGGTCTAAAATACAATTAAAGTGTCCTCCCACTACTACATGTCCCTCTTTAAAATTATCCAATTTCTCTAACACAGTTTTTATAAAATGTTCTTGACCACTATTCAGAGCATACATCACTACAAATGTATACTTTTCTCCACTTAGTAAACCTTAAAGAAATAAAAAACGGCGGCTTCCGGTTGAGCTAAGATGGAGGGTTGATGCGTCCCGAAACCGCTCGGGGCGGGCAACGGCTTCTTTTGACAGTTTGGGTGGTTTATAGCCCAACACACCTCTCTGGGCGGGGGGGGTTTGCCAAGAATGCAGCAGAGCCCAAGCAGAAGTCGAGATCGGAGTGATTGATGTCCCGGAGAGGACATTTTTCACTCCTTGAACTCCTTCTACGAAGCGGGCTGAAGCAGAGCAACTCTACAGAAGCCGATCGAGCTGGAGTTCCAGCATAAACTTTCCATCAGCCGATCTCTTATGAAAAGGATAACAGTGAGTTTGTGAAAGAAGCAATGCGTACCCCAGTATAAGCGCGTAAGATAACAAAAACCGCAAAGCTTACCGTACAGCGGAGTAAAAGACTTTAGCCTTAGCGGTTAATCGGATATCGAAAGTAACATCCCGAGGGTGTGATTTCGGAGAGAGAATTTTGAGACTAAAGCCTTTAAAAACATAAAAAAAACTTTGTTGAACATTCCTGTGGTGACTAAAGCGAAACTGACGAAAGCTATCGCGAGCATTGTTTGCCTGTTGCTACCTTAATAAAGTTCCTGACAGGAAGAGACCATCAAAACGTTGCATAGAGAGGCTCCGGTGGACTGTTTGTAAACCGGAAGAAGATCAAGCATACTAAAGTGTGGCACAGGAAATCTGAAGAAGCGGACGGACGGAACGAAATTAACAGGAAGTTGCCTTCTCTATCCAAAAAATCATAGAGAAATTGCGCCCGGCATTTTGAGGAGGACTTTGACTTTTAAAGTGCTTTTTTGCCGCTAAACTTTGAGAAAAAAGGGCAAAAAAATGAAGATTTGCTAAAGCGCATATAGGTGTCTGTTTAAAGGGACTGACTGGCGGTTTTAAGTCAGTCAGAACACACGTCAATACAGAGCCAAAAAAGGGGAAAATTGATATTTTTCTGAGACCAAGAGCAACTTCGACCTCAAGCCCAAAGATGGCATCTTCAGAAAAAGAGAAGGAGAAGGAAAGGCAAAAGAAAGAGAAAAAAGACTGGCAACTTGCCATAGAAGCAATGGAGAAGAGAATGACAGATGCAATACAGGCATTAGGTAAACAACTCGAACAGCAAATGGAAAAACAAACTCAGAGACACCTAGAACAATTGGAAGAGGTCCAGGAGAAGAATGTGACCGCAATTAAGGAGTTGGTGACAGCTGAGATAGCTTTGGTCAAACAAGATATGGATCAGCTTAAACAGGAAGTTCAAGGAGTGGCAACAAAGTCAACTGAAATGGAAGACAAAATACAACTTTTGGATAAGATGCAAGAGACTACAACTCAACAAATCAGACGATCTGAAGCAATGATGGAATACAGACGGATGCAAAACCATTTAAGATTCAGGGGAATTGAGGAGACGTTGGATGAAAATATAAGAGAGGTCATGCGGAAATCACTAACTGAATATTTAGAAGAAGATGATGGTGATATGAATTACGAATTTGATTTGATATATAGAGTAAATTCAAGAATTGCAGAGAAGAAGAACCTGCCAAGAGATGTGATTGTGCAATTTTTGACCAGGAGAACAACAGAGGATATCTTTAAGAAGCAATTCACACACCCGTTTGAAATTGGAGGAAAGAAAATCATGATACTCAGAGAGCTTCCCAGAGCAATTCTTCAGGACAGAAGAAAGTATAAGACTTTAGCAACAAACTGAAGAACATGAACATCAGATTTAGATGAGAAATACCTCAAGGGCTTTCCTTCAACTACAAAGGTGGGAAACATGTCATCAAATCCGCAGAAGACCTGTACAGATTTAAAGGGGACAATTTAGATGATTTTGGAGACTTATAAAACAAAATATACAATGGAATACAAGCTTCTAGCTTGGAATGTTAATGGATTAAATTCATCCAACAAGAGAAATAGAATTAAACATTGGATTCAAAAACAGAAGTGTAATTTGATTTGTCTACAAGAAACCCACATTAAAAAGCAAGATGCCAAATATTTGACAAACAAGCTGTTGGGAGAGGAATTTTACTCTCTGGCCAGCAATAAGAAAAAAGGCATAGTAATTTATGCAAAGAAAGAGTTGCAACCAAAAGAAATTTTTACGGACTCTGAAGGAAGGTTTGTTGCTGTAGAAGTGGTAATCCACCAAAAGAAAACTCTGCTTGTTAATGTTTATGCAACAAATGGAGCTAAGGAGAGATTTTTCAAAGACCTAGCAGAACACCTACAGCAACTAAGCTATGAACATTTAATTTTGGCTGGAGATTTTAATGGTACAGTAGACAACAAAATAGATAGACAATCAGTAAGGGGAGACGAAAAAAGCGGAAAATTACCAAACATCTTTTTTGAATTAGCAAAGCAAGAAAAGCTTCAAGATGTTTGGAGAAAATGGAATCAATCTATTAAGGACTTTACCTTCTACTCAGACCAACACAGTTCTTTTTCCAGGATTGATATGATTTGGATGACGGAAGAATTGACGTTAACTACACAAAAAATAGAGATACTTCCGAGATGTAACTCTGACCATAATCCGCTTTTGTGGAGCACAAAAGAAAAAAATAAAACCTTTTTATGGAGAATCAATAAAGACTTGTTGGATAAGAAAAAGATTTTAGAGCTGTTGAAGGAGGAAACAAAAGCTTTCTTCCAACAAAATTTAAATCAAGGGACTCCAATACATGTTGTCTGGGATGCCTACAAAGCGGTGATGAGAGGGATTTTAATTTCACAAAATGTAAAACAGAAGAAGGAGAACTATAAGAAACAAACAGAAGTACTAACCAAAATATCACAGAAAGAGAAGGAGCTGAAGAAAAAACCTGGGAAAAAGAAAATTATAAAAGAACTTCAATTGTTGAGGGATCAACTGAATGTAATGTTAAATCAGGAAATGTACTGGAATTTTAAAAAATTACAACATAAATCCTTTGAAGGAACAAACAAGCCAGGGAAATTCCTGGCTTGGCAACTCAAAAACAGAAAAGAAAGAAGAATGATCAACAAGATAGTAGAAGAAGGAAGAGAATTCGTCGACCCCAAGGGAATTAAAAGAAGCTTCTTTAAATACTATGCGAAATTATTTCAAGGAAAGAAGTCTGATTTGGAAAAGATAAAGAAATACTTAGAACATACAGCACTGCCAAAGATACAAGGAGAATATAAAGAACTATTGAACGGTCGTATTCAAAGTGAAGAACTGACCAAAGCGATTGATGAGACAAAATTGGGGAAAGCGCCAGGACCGGACGGATTTACGGCAAAGTTTTATAAAAAACTGAAAGAAGAGATAGTGCCGGTCCTAACGACACTAACGAATGAGATAAGGGAGACGAAAGTCGTACCTGAAACTTGGAAAGATGCAATTATATCGTTAATACCGAAGGAAGGTCAAGATTTAACCAACGTAAGAAATTTTAGACCGATATCACTTTTGAACAATGACTATAAGATTTTTGCTAAAGTAGTGGCCGAAAGAGTGAAGAAATATTTGCAGACGGTGATTTCAGAAGAACAAGCTGGTTTTCTACCAAATCGACAAATTCGAGATAACTTACGAACTGTAATGGACGCCATTGAATATTATGAGAAACATCCAGGGAAGGAAGTAGCCTTTCTTTTTATAGATGCGGAAAAAGCATTTGATAACTTAAATTGGAACTTTATGTTTCAAATGTTTGAAAAAATGGAAGTAGGGCATTCGTTTAATAACATGATTGAAGTGATCTACTCTGACCAAAGAGCAAAACTGAATGTGAACAAGGATTTGACGGATCACTTCAAAGTTCAAAAAGGGACAAGGCAAGGATGCCCGCTTTCACCTTTGCTTTTTATCTGGGTTTTGGAAATTTTATTACAAAAGGTACAAAAAGATGAAGAAATAAAGGGGCTTAAATTGGGAGGCTACAACTACAAATATAGAGCTTTTGCAGACGATGTAATGTTTATAGTAGAAGAACCGGCGGAAAAATTACCGGTACTGATGCAAAAAATTGTGGACTTTGACGAGTTGGCTGGATTCTATGTGAATAAGAACAAAACCAAACTCCTATGTAAGAACATGACGAAAGATAGACAGAATGAAGTACAAGAACTGGTACAATGTGAGGTAGTGAAGAAAACTAGGTATTTGGGAATTGACTTGACTATGAAAAACATCGATCTTTACAAGAATAACTATGAGAAACTATGGAATAACATCTTACAAGACTTTAAAAAATGGAATGTCATGAATTTATCATTGTTAGGAAGAATTTCTGTAGTTAAAATGAATGTTTTACCTCGATTGATGTTTCTGTTTCAAACCATTCCCATATTGACCAAGAGTGATGTACTGAATAAGTGGCAAAAAGAAATTTCAAAATTTGTATGGGGAGGCAG